TAGATCCATCAGCAACATAAGTTCTACAAGTTACAAAAATATGAGAGTTATGGGGAGGGCCTGGGGTGTATACATCAAAAACTTACCAAATGGTATAGGGAAAATATGGTCATATGCGACATGCCTAAGTATAATAATTATACATAAAAATATAAGTGTTCGTGCTGTTATCAGCATAAAGTTGGTGGCTAAAGCCGCATCCAACACAGAACATATTTACAAAACTGGAATAGAGGAAGCTTATGAGTACGATTTCAAAAAGCTACGTCAAAGTTTCAACTTACCAAAGGTGAAGATTGAAAAAATTATTTTATTAACATTAGAAAATTAAACCCAAAATAGGACTGCCACACAAACACAGAATATGCCTATAGGAGGCGGAATTCTGGACACTCATCTGTACTTCTGGATGTTAGTGGGTGTTAGCTGTTAATCAAATTTCAAAAATTTTTCTTTATGAAAATCGTGCTGTCTGCACGAGGAGTAAGAATGTAATGAGGAAGAAGATGGTGGCAGGGAATTAGTAAAATTTGCTGCATAAAAACCTTGACAATTCCAGAAATCAAACCAAGTAGCTTCCTCTTACGACCAAAGGCCAAACAATCATAGTTGGATACTAAGTTACACATCCAAAAACAATAAAATATGTTGTAAGCAATAAGTGTGATAAATTAAACTAAATTAAATTGAAATAATAGCATTACAAAAGGGTTAATCAGAGTTCGACTATTAAATATTAAATTTTCAAAAGGAATTATATTTTGGTAGGTAGCGTCACCCAACACGAACAGACAAAGGTGCAAGCGGTGGTTGAATTTGTCTACTTTTATTTGTCTGAGGGTATCCTGGTATGGTCTTGAGTTGTCATTGACTATCATTGCGTAGGTCTGTCTTTCCTTTGAACCCTTGCTTCCCACTTTGTCCTTTTTGTAGTAGAGGTGTACCCTCACCTCTGAGTCAAATAAGACTGCTTCCAACATTTTCCTCATCGTTTCTTTGCTCACTATTTCCGCCTGGTGTATAGTTAGCTCCTCCTTTTCCTCCGTTTCTGCTTTAAGCTTTTTCATAGCTTCATACAGATCCTCTTCGCTGTTTCTGTATGTCAGTGACATGAGTGTTTCTTCTTGACTTCCTGTTCTGTTTTCCCGGCTTTAATTTTGAACTTCTGTTCTAAAGTGCCAATGTCTTCCCTAATTTCCAGTAGTTCTGGGTATCTCTCTCTGTATTGCTTTAGGATGCCCCTCTCCATCTCTGGGTCATCTTCGCCTACACATATTACTTTTGTACTCTCATCTCTGTTATCGACCGGGTTGCCCTCAGTGAGTTCCGTGATCTTGTAGGCTGACTCATCCCAGTTTAGTTCTGAGAGATCCTTCCATTCCTGAAAGTTTTTACATTCTCTTATTTCAATTATCGCACCTATTTCTCTTGTCTGCGTGCTTATTTCTCTACCTTTTCGCTCTGTTTGCGTTTCCGCGTCAAAAGTCATTTTAGTGACTTCTCCCAGTTTATGTTTCTCTATCCACTCTGTTACTATTGATGTATTCAAAGCGTTTGCTTGCCTTTTCAGCTTAATTGTAATGTCCTTTATTTCCTTTTTGGTATTTCTGTCTTTGTTTTCTTCTAACTTTTGGATCAAACTAATTATCATATCCTTTGCTTCAATTAGCATAAAAGCCCCAGGATCTTCTTTTTTCTTGTAAGGATCTGTGCCTCTGTTTTCTTCTGCTCCGAATGAGGTATCTAGGATGCTTCTCTTCATACTTTCACTAACAAAAGTTCGGTTTTTCTGAACCTCTCAAGTTGTGTTCCAGTCATCTTCACCCGTGCCTTGGCCTGGTTCCCTATCTGGGGCACTGTACAGATACTGAATGACGGTCGGGCTTGGCCTGCACCTCCACCAAAGGCACCGACCCGTACTGGGGTATCCCCCTCTGCACCGTAAACTTATTCACTTTCGTAGCCTGGTCCATCATTGTTTTCTGTTTGTTGGAGAGAGACTCTTAAACTAACTCAAACTATCCTAAACCAACCCAAGCTTTAGGCTGCAGATATATCCCACAGGAATTGTGCATTTTTCCTGGATAAAAACAAAAAGTAGCCTATAACGCTCCCTATACAGGGTGTTTCTGAATAGTGGGATCAAACTTCTAGGAAAAATAGTACTCATTAAAATAAGAAAAAAGTTATTAGGAACATGGAGTCCGCGGACCTATGTTGCACGAATCCTCGTAAGGATGCGTAACGTATCCAGACACCTTCCTTAGGATGTTCACAACAACCTACCAAAGTTTCATCGTAATCGGATAAGTTGTGTAGGAGCGCATAAGGGACAAACAAACAAACATTAAGTTTTATGTATATAGAGTGGGAAATACAAATCGAGCGTGGATAGTATAGGTAAAAAATAAAATAAAATTGAGTGATTACAAGAAGAAAAGAGACAAGAAAAGGATGCTAGGAAACATTCACAAAAGACATGGAAAAAGGAATGTGAAGAAACCTGAAAAAAGAAAATTATTTTATGAAGAAATAAGTTAGAGCTCAAGGATACTAATCTAATCTAGTAATCATATCAATAAAATCAATGCTGAAGAGTGGAAAATATTATTTTGGAAAGCTATAAAAAGAAAGCGAGGAAACTGAAGAATTAACAAGAAGAGAGGCAATCAAGAGCCAATAATAGCTAAACATTTCAATTATTATGGGCTCTTGATTACCTGTAGAATTATCCAGCTGATCAAAAAACAATAAAATCATCAAAAGTTTGACTATTATTGACTCTTAGGTCTTAATGATCCCTTGGAGAAATAATCAAGAAGCAATTTACAGTCAATAAGAGTTGAAAATTTGAATTATTGTCGGCTCTTGACTGTATGTAGAATTGTCTAGCTGATCAAAAGGCAATGAAAGTTTGATGATTAACGGCTCTTGAGTCTTGATTCTTTGGAGAATTATTCAAGAAGCCATCAAAAGCCAGAAAGAACTTAAAATTTGAATAATTATCGGCCCTTGACTTGAGTGCCTGTAAAATTGTCCAGCTGATCAAAAGGCAATAAAAGTTTGATTATTATTGGCTCTTGAGTTTTGATTCTTTGGAGAATTATTCAAGAGCCACTGAGAGTTGAAAGTTTGAATTATTAACGGCTCTTGATTGCCTGTAGAATTGATGTAAGAATAACAGCCAAGATGGTGAGAAAAATCCTTGATTCAGGCCCCAGCGAAATGGCAGATAAAATAGGTACTAAAAAACGAAGGAAGACATTAACAAAAAGAGTTATTTTAATAATGTCTGGTACGCTGATGTGCTTCCTTTACTCATTGCTGACTCGAAAAAATATCCATAGGGACTCAGAGATTGTCAAGTAAGTAAATCACTTCAAGTTCTTGGGAAAATAACAAGTTTTGGAAATTTACAAAGAGTTGAAAGCATCTGGAATCTCAAGATAACTCAAACACGCAGTCTTACTTCAATTACCTAATAACGTTTCGTTTATTACATCTTCAGTCCCTAGTTCAAAACTTAAGTACACATCAAATTACAGTATTGAATTCCGAATAAAAATCATATAATTGAAGCCACCCACACAGATCTTACCCCAAATCTGGAATAAAGCACCGAAAAGGGAAGCAAAAGCCTGGAAATTAGTAGGGATTTTATTTTTCCAGGCTTAGAATATCCAGGGATCGAAATACGATTCTTTCCAGAATCTCTAAGAGAATTTTCTTACTGGATAATTTTTTGAATGATATTTTGATGAAAATATAATTAAGAAAAATATCAAAAACTCTCCTGTGCTTGACGTCATCGATTAAGCCACGATTGCCTCACACTTTTCGTGCTTTGACGTCATTCTTGACTTGTCAGCAGGACCCAACTGGATCCGGTGTACACTCTGGGGTTATTTTCAGATATTGTTTTAATGTTCGGGTTGCGCAAAGATGAAACTAGAGCAAGTGGCAGTATAGAGTAGATCATAATAGTTATGCAATTTTTGGAAAAATATTTTTTTCTGACATAAAAATTACTTTGTGTGGAAAGCAAATATTTTCGTTTGACGTCAGTATAATTTTGTTTCTCTTGCATTATTGCAGATTCAAGATCAAATTTCGCACAAAAATTAATTCGTTTGAATGAGAGCCAAATTAAAAATTCTTGAATGAAATATGCATGTTTGATGGGTTGTTAAAAATATCAACAGAAAATATTAAATTTTTCAATTGATTAAAGCACTTATTAATCCTTGTCTTTGTCACTTGTTCTCATAAAAAAAGCTTCTCTGAATTTCATACGTAATGTGACATGTGACCCAAGTAATTATTTTTTAAACTCATTAGATTTGCGTTCAAGTCTACATGTATCACCGGTTTAAATAAAGAGCTGTATAGAATGGCTGATGCTTGCATTATCCTTTTATTTCTCCCTTGTTCATAGAAACAGTTCCTCAATCATTTGCAAGGGATTTGCTATCAGGTATAATTTATTTCATTCTTTGTTGCACCATCGAAGCTTTAATAGCTCAATTTATTTTTTGGAAGATTGAGGCCGTATCCAATTTCTTGTCTTAAAAAGCTGAGAAGCCTCTCTGGGTACTTCTTGCATCGAATTCAAAACTATATAGGTACCTATGAATAAATAGTACCAATTATCAAAAAAAAAACTTATAATTCTAAACTCATTCATTATAACATAACTAAAAATATATTAGCTTTTCCGACTATGATTGTTCCTCCTCCACCTTTAACAGGTTTTATGAGGCCAATATGTCTGTCTAGTGTAAAGGTGTATCTAAAAATACCAAAAGACATAACAATTATAACCGAGGTTAATACCTTGACGATATTTTTATCGACCTGTGTGTCAAATCGAGTTTTGATTCGTACAAACATACACGCTCGCACGTCATCGATATAAACAAGATGAACGATCAACTTGAGTTTTTGGCATCAAAATAATTGTGCGAATTTATTTTTAGGAGGTTATTTTTTTTCTGTTGCAGACTGGTTCCTGTGAAAGCCTTATGGGTCGCGAACGGATAGTAGGTTCCGTGCCGGGCCTTCTGGATCGATTGTCTTGTTCCTCAGCCGCTGATATACCGGGTACGTTGAACGATGAGGACGCCGGGGCAGTTCCGAATATCCTAAACGAATGCTTTAGGCATTTGGAGCACCACGGACTGCATACTTTTGGTATATTCAGGGTTAGTGCCTCAAAAAAACGACTAAGACAGGTAAAAGTTTTAATTTTAGATCCAACATTTGTTTTATTTTGATTGGTTTTAGTTGCGAGAAGACTTTGATTGTGGCAAAGAAACTTCCATAGACGACAATCAATGTCCTCATGACGTGGCAAGTTTACTTAAAGAATATTTGAGAGATTTACCAGATCCACTTTTATGTCGAGACTTGTATCATGCTTTTATTCAAACGCAAAGGATTCGTAACAGAAGATTGCAGTTTGAAGCATTACAACACTTGGTGCAACTATTGCCACCTGCAAATCGTGACACCTTGTATTCGTTGCTTAGTTTTCTAGCCAACGTTGCTAAAAATGCTAACGACAGCAAAAACGCTTTAGGTGAAGATTTAGCGGGCAACAAAATGGATACTAATAATTTGGCCACTGTGATTGCACCCAATATTCTTCATTGCATTAAGCCTGGCTCTAAAGACCTTCAAGATCGTTCTGAAGATCGTCTAGACGTTATCAATGTCGTTAGAACCCTTATAGATCACTACAAAGATATTTTTGCTGTTTCTGCTGAATTGCTGGACGAAATTTACTTGAACATGGTCGATTCGTATCCCGAGGCTTTGGAACAACTTTTAAATAAAAATGATGCCATTGCTGGAGCAGATGAGTAAGTAATTTTTCTCTAGAGCTTTGTACAGTTTTTACATATATTTTTATCAAAGAACTTGTCGCTTTCGTTGAAAGTTTTAAAAAAGAAACGTTAAAAGAACTTTCCACTGATTTGGATTGATGGGATTTTTTGCTTTTAGCCGACAGGGATAAAATGTCTTCCTGTTTATTAAGTGAGCGTGTAATACGTCAACATTTTTTTTTCACAAAATAAGGATAACCGAATGAATATTTGAAGAGGGGTGATAATTTGAATTTATGTGCATGAGTTTAACTTTTCGCTCTTAGGGTTAATATGCTTGGACGAGAAGGAAAAAGATTAATGTTTTGACTTTGCTGAATTCTTCATATATTCGCACTCGATACCTTTCAAATAAATTTTTCAGTTTTTTCCACAAGCCGCGTGGACATTCTGACTTGACTTTAGTTTCGATTCTCAATAAATTTCTGACGGTTCTTATATACCTTTCTACCTGTCCATTACCACGATGAATATCTGGTGTTATAAAATGATGTTCAATCTGCCATTGGTCTAAATATTTGGGAAAAGTAGTATTTTTAAAGGAAGTGCCGGCATCCATTATAATTCCTTTTGGAGTGCTAAATAAAGCCAGAACACTTTAACTTTTCACGAGTTTCAGATGTAGTAACTGTTTTTATTGGCAGAAGAATATTTGGTAAATGCATCACTTTAACTAAGATGCTTGAAACCATCTGAATTTATAGGTAGATGTCCCAAACAGTCCATGTGCAGAGTATGGAATGGATCTTTGGACTTTTCTACATTAGTTATAAAACCTTGCATTGGTCCAGTTTTGGTTTTCTTTACTGCACACACCACACAATGCTTAATGTATCGATAAATAAAATTTCCCATTTGAGCAAACCAGAAATGCGCTTTATTGAGACATATGTTTTTTCATGTCCTACATGGCATTGTTCATCATGAAAAATTTTAAGTAAGCCTAAACGAATTTGCCTAGGAACGTACCATTGCAAATTCTCAGTACCATCGGCATTAACTTATTTATGATAAAGAAGCATTTGGTCTTTTTCTAGGTATTGAGTTTGGTCCAAATTTCCCTCAATTAGTTGCTTCAATAATTGTATTTCTTCATTTCCTTTTTGTTCAGTATAAGCCCAATTGTCATGAGTTACTTTTCGAATTTAATTGATTGGGTTTCTACTCAAGAAATCGACATGAGATAAGCTGCTGTCCTTACGATAAACTATGTCAAAATTAAAATCTTGCAAGTAAATCCACCAGCGGGTAACGCGTGGCAACAAATCCTTTTTTGGTTTCAGTAGATTTGATGGCATTACAATCGGTGACTATTGTAATCTTAATACCGAGGAGTTACCTACGTTCGAAAATGTTTAAGAGCTAACGTCTCAAGTTCATAAGAGTGATATTTAGCTCCGTATTCTGTTGTTCTTCTACTAAATTAAGCTAACACTTTTGATTGGAGGGCCAAATTTTTGTATTAAGATAGCTCCATATCCAATACTCTACTTGCGTCAGTGTGAAGTTCTGTGGGTAGACTAGGGTTGTAAACAACAAGAAGCAGCCTTGAAGTCAAATGACTAATTACATATTACCTGACCTCTTCTTGATTATTTTCCCATTCAAATGGTGTATTTTGCGTTGTTAGCCTGGTTATACATGCGGTTCGGCTAGCAAACTCTGGAACGAATTTCCGAAAATAACCGGCTTATCCCATAAATTGTCTAACTTGCTTAACGTTTTTCGGAATTGGAGAGTCTAGTAATGCTTGGATTTTAGCCTTTCCTGGCCTTATTCTTTCGCTTGATATTTCTCTACCAAGATATCCCAAGGAAGATTGGAGAAAACGACATTTTTCAATATTCAAGGAAAATCCATCAGAACTCAATGCTTCTAAAATTTGACGCAAATAGCTAAGTCCTTCTTCATAAGTAGAATTGGGAATTAAAATCTCATCGAGGTACACTAGGGCGATTGAGTCTTTCAATGAGCCCAATGCCGAATTCACGCCTCTCTGAAATACAGCAGGGGCATTCGCTAAGCCAAATGGCATCCTCAAAAACTCGAAATGTCCATCAGGCTTAACAGAAGCCGTTTTTTGAAACGAATCTCAATGTATGGGAATTTGATGAAATCCCGACGACATATCCAAAGAAGTAAAATATTGCCCCTTGCCCAATCGATCCAATTGATCATTGATGCGTGGATCGTAAGTCGATTTAGTTCCCGGTAATCCAAACAGAATCTAATGTCTCTATTTCTCTTTTTGACAAATATCACAAGACTGGCATAAGGAAGAAGATTCACTTGGTTGGAGATTAGAATTATGTCATCAACATACAATAAAAGGAAAGTCTCATTGTTATAATACAAGCAAGGATCTTTCATAGACCTTCGTAAGCTTAAATCAGTAATGGTTTTGTGAAATAGGTAATTCCAACATTTGGGTGCATGTTTCAGGCCATATAAAGTTCTGGATTACCCTCAAGACCCTTGGGTTGCTGCATATACAGGATCTCCATAAAGAAAGGCTGAATTGACATCCAGCTGTCGCCTACACATGTGTAACTCGAGATATAGACATAACAAAATGCGAATGGATAACATTTTGGCGATCGGCGCCTACACATTTTCATCGAGTTCACTCTGAAGAGAGCGACGAGCCACTGAACGTGCCTTTTTCACTTCTGTTCCATTAACACTTTTCTTGCGAACTACTCACTTCGAATCTATCATCTCTTGATGTTGAAGAGGTGATACTGATAGCAGTTCCAAGTTGACATCTTTTTCATTGAATTCATTTCTTTTTCTATCGCTGTCTTCTATCCGCTGTCCTTTACTGCTTCCTCATTCAAAGGTCTGTAATACATCTGTTATTAAACTTCCAGCTGGTGAAGCCATCATTAAGTTTTCTTTAAAGTTTAGGTTGTAGTCGTCTAAATATCGTGGTTTTTGTCTAATTCGGGTACCGTGTCATTTGTTTTCATTACATACTTGTTATTTTTACCATTTCTGTTTTCCCAATGCTTTCTATATTTTTAACACTTTCTACTTTTTCTTCTTCCAAATCTTCTGCTTTCTCATCCTGTTGACTCAATTCATTCAAGTATGCCTATGTCGGTTACATCCCTCTGATTCTTATTTTCATTAAAAACTACCTACATCTCTTGCATGAACAATTTTTTTTTTTTGGGTTTCACAGCCTGTATCCATTATCAGAGTATCTTATCACAATCATCTTTCTGCTTCGAACATTGAGTTTAGTTTTCCTATCTTCTTTTGGAATTAAATTATGTGCTTCGCAGCCAAAAGGTTTGATTTCGCTGAGATCTGGTTTATATCCATACCAAATTTCTGCAGGGGTTGTATTATCTGGTAATACCCTTGTTTCTGTACGATTCAATAAATAAACCTCAACATCACATCTCACAGCTTCTCCCCAAAAGATTTTGGATAAATTTGAATCCAAAATCAAACATCTTGCAATATTTATAATATGTCCGTTAACAATTTCTACAACACAATTTTGTTGGAGAATTTCTCGGAACGGTGTATGGAAACTGTATGCCATGAGATTTGCATAGCTCTTTAAAACTTCTAAAAATATATCCCCCCCCCCCCATTATCACAGCGTAACATTTCTATGCTTCTTTCGAATTTGGAGAAAGTCATATTTATAAATTCTTCAAACTTTTGGTGATGGAACCACATACGTCGCTAGAAAAGGTTTCTAAAATTCTTGTTTTTCTTCTGGAATCAGGTATTCTGCAGTAGGGTTTTTTAATCTGTTTGCCATTCATGGATATTTCACATATTCCGGGACTAGGAAATTTTGCTGTATGTCCCATTTTTCTGTGTATCAAAAACATATCTTCCCTTGTGGCACAAGCTGTTTAATTTTCAGGCAAGATCATGGTAACTGTATATAAATTTCCAGTTAGTTTTCCTTTAAATTTCCATTTTTCCTTTCTTAATGATAGCTTCATCATTTCTGGATAAAACTTCGAACCCGGCCAGTGCCGGCCCGAGGTTACTTTTAGGATGAAGCGAGATCCTACTTTGGCGCCCCTATTTTAAATGTGAATCGTATACTCTATTCATCGATATAAGAAATGTCTTAAAATTCAATAAATTATTTGCCTCATTTACTGTGTTCGGCCACGTGCAACTAACCCAAACCCTTATACTGAAGAAAACAAAGGGAATAGTTACCTATGTCATCTACCTGCTGCTGGGTGTCAGCTCCTGTTTATGACTATTAAATAGTAATAAAATGCAAATGAATTCCTTATATGTATGAATGAAGTATATGCTCGAGCATGGATTTTGATCATTGTGATGGTGGATCTTCTCTTCATGAAACCATGTTGTCCATTGATAGTGACATTCTTAAAATGTGGGGTGATTTTATCTGCAACAATATCTTCAAAAACTTTGGCTACCAAGGAGACCTTTGATATTGCTCGATAATTTCCAATGTCTGATTTGTCTCCATTTTCAAAAACTGGAATACCATAGGATTTTTTCAGGCTTCTAGATATGTACCAGTAGATAATGACATATTAAAAATATCACAAAATTTGAGACAGAACAAACCTGCAGCCTTCTGGGAAAACAAACGGTGTGCCATCTGGCCCAACACCGAGACTCTGCCTTTAACTTGCAAATTCTGTCAAAAACATCAAGTTAAGATTAGGCTGCCCAATACCAACCATCCTCTCTGATTCAAAAGTCGGAAAAATTACATATTATTATGTAATATGATATGTCTCTATCTATCTAATCACATGCTTACCACATGCTTGCTTTCTCTTCTTTTTTATTACCAAGGAACGAGACGGAGCGCCCCCCGAGGCCTGGCGCCTGGAGCGCCCGCTCCGTTCGCCTCATGGTAAGGCCGGCCCTGCTGACAATACATTGCAAAATAATCCGTCACAAACCCAAACATTGTTTATTATGATGGCCTGGTTTCCAATCTCAACTTTCATGTTTCCTTCTTGCACAGCTTTTATTACAGAACCAGATTTTGCTAGATTTATGCTATAATCAATAGCTTTTGAATCAGTGATATATTTGCGAAACTTATCTTGAACAAGATGGTGTGTTGCACCACTTATAACAAAATCAATTTTTGAATTGTATGCTGTACTTGCCTGTTCAATGGTCGTCAAAAATAAAATCGGGCTGTCACTATTTTCGTTGTTTCTGTCACTTAGGCTCCTCTTCTTGACCATCTTCTGCCTTATTGAAATCATCATCCGCTTTGTGTACAAGGTCTTTTCCTCATAATTAGTGCGCCTCCTACAACTTAAACAAAAGGAAATACAAAAAAAAAGTTTAATACAAAAGTTGTAGGATTTTATCTCTATTCTGTTTTGCACATGTCAAAATGGGCAAAGGACAGGTGCCAACTGTCATAATGACAGCACTGCATTTTTTTAAATAGAACTAAAAATATACAGGGTATTCCATTTAAAAAAATGCAAGTGCTGTCATTTTGACAGTTGGCACCTGTCATTTACCCATTTTGACATGTACGAAAGATAATAGAGATAAAACCCTAGAACTTCTGTTTTTAACTTTTTTTGTATTTTCTTTTGTTTAAGTTATAGGAGCTGCACTAATTATAAGGAACAGACCCTGTACAATCTACTCGTCTGTGACTTCTTTTTCACTATTTGAATTAACAAAGTTGCCACCTCTATTTCCTCTTTTTCCAAAATTTCTTCTATTTCCAAAATTCTTATAATTCCTATGTCTTCTGTGTCCTACAAATACTGCATCATTTACTGTTTGTGTCTCGTCATATGCCTTTGCCTGTCGAGTCTCTTCCATAAGTAGTTTGTTTTTGACAAACTCTAATGTTAGTTTCGTTTCATCATGAGTAAATATGACATCAAGGGCTGTATTAATGCCTTGAAATGACTCCGGCATCGATGATAGTAATTGCGAGATTATTTCACTTTCTTCAAGTTTTCCACCACCAGCTTTTAGTTCAAAAACAGTGTGCTGAAACTCCGTTATAAAAGAGTTAAGAGGAGTTCCTTCAATATATTTCAGTGACTTTAGCTTCCGTAGTAGCTGTTCATACCCGTGTTGCTATTCCAGTTTTACGGTATTTTCATCGGAGTTTCTCAATAATTTCCTTAGCAGTAGTTTTTTCTTTAACAAGTTCTAAAACGTTATCTGAGAGACATTGTATCAAGATATTTCGTGCTTTTACGTGATTCTTGATAAAGGCGTTAAGTTCTGCAACGCTTGTAGCTGTGGGCGGTGTCTGTGATAAAACAGAAAGCACTCCTGCTTGTTCCAGAACTAGGCTTACTCGAAATTCCCAATTAGAAAAACCGCTTCCATCAAAAGGTTTGATGTTGTTCCTTGAGTATTCCACAAGTTCCACAATAATTCTGTGTAAAAACTTTTCTATTTTAATGACGTTTGCTTACTTTCACGGTTTCTAAAGTTTTGCACTTGATAGGTATTTAAATTTCCAGTCTGGGCCCCATAACCTATGGATGCGCGGTGTATTTATGTATAAAACCAACTTCCTGACTTTGATTCAACACTTTTATTTAGTCGGATACTGTCAAATTGAGTTATACGGTTTCTTTTAAAAATGCGTTAAGCACTCGAGTCGCTCATAGTGCACCCCTCTTTCCCCTGATGCACCAAATTTGCAGGGGGTGCAAGAAGCACGGATATGTTAACATTAAAGTATAATGATAATATCTGAATTGTTTTGGAGTGACTCCGAAGAGCTTTAGAGCGACACGTTCGGTGTAACTCGATGTATAAAAGAAATACAGTAATTGAACTATAGATACCCATAATTGTACCATATATAGCTTCCACGTTCAGAGTGCAGAGCAGCCCATCCAGCACTGTGCATCACAGCAGATGCGATAGTACACTCCTCCTGTGGGCAGCCTTTAGTTACGGTTGAGCTGATTTTCGCATTTCCAATCTGCTTTTCAGCATGACACAGTGGTGACAAAATGGTGTTCTCTACGCCAAAGCTTTCTGCAGCATTTTTTATCGAGTCGAAGGCCTAAGTGCCCCTTAGATGTCTAGAAATACACCTTGTTTTTCGTTACTTCCGTCAACTCTATCACATTCATTATCAATTTCAGATCCGTAGAAGAGTTAGATTCAGAATCAAACTCAGCTCCATGGACACCAACGCACCCAACATCGGAACTATCAACAGCTTACGCTTTCGATATCGGAATAATGCAGCAAAACGAACCGAAAAAGACGTACTCCAGAGAGGAATGTTTACACGAAAGCGCTGCCACTGGTGGACCGAACATCGGCATGAGGGTGAGACACAAGGACAAAATCCGCGAGCGTAGTTTGAGAAGGAAACGCGAAAAATACGAAGACGGGCTCTTGTCCAGGATAAGGGGCGCGCAAAAGAATGACGAAGACTTTTTTAAAGCACGGTCTTCTTCGCTGGAAAGTTCCGGTTCGGCACAGGGCGAAGATGTCACCAAGATGCTAAGAATGTCCGATGCGGAGCTTCACCAAAGACGTAAATCGAGTCCGTATATTTTGGATAGTAGCGGCGTGCTGACTGCTAGTTTGACTATACCTGTTCAAACTGGAATATCATATAATATTGGTAAGAATTTTTGTTGCCAATATAATTGAACACAAACTAATCCAATCAAGAGCCGGAAATATTCAGAAGCTGAACTTTAATTCTGAAATTCAAATTTTCAATTCAAAATATTCCTAGCTCTTATTGATTGAAGTTTGCAACAAAAAACCGGGAATAGACATACGTTTTCACCCATCTCAATATCAAAACTATGACACTATTTTATCCACATCATTATGTTTCAGATGACGACATTCCTTATATAGAAGACGTAGAAAACGGTAGACAACACATGACAATAGGATTAGTTAAAGCGCCTGCGGTGCCACAAAGACGTCGAAACACTTCAGTCGGTAGCGACTCATCGATCGCATCAAACATCCAACCAGTAACTGGATCACTATCTTTAGGACAAGGCTACGATTCTGCAGTAGGCTCATCAGCGCCAACCACTTATTCATCTCAAAACACCCCGACTTCGGTAACATCCAGCCTGGCCGATCACAGTCACTTTTCGTCACCTCCCAGTTGGACTAGCAGCCCTCCAACGTCACCAACGTCCCCAGATAGCGTGCTGACTTCGATAAACTATATACCAGACGATGTTAATATACTTAAACCAGCCCCTAAAGATCGCAGTATGTTGAGAGAAGGCCCCACAATACAAAAAGTATCGTTCGCTCAAGGCCCAAGTCCACAAACCATACAAAAAGTTCGAGATTATAAAGCTCTATATGGAGCTGACATTAGTAAAAGTGCCACTGTGGCTTCGTTCGCTGAAAGAGAGCCAAGATTCACACCAAGCATCACGAGCATCGGCAATGCCGTCCTTAAATCGAAAACGGCCGATTTTGAAAGGATAATCAAAGTCGATTCTAAGCCTAAAATGGTGCAACCGACGACTCAAACTGGGACAATAACTTCAACTACAGTAACCATGACAGATAAGGATAAGAAGAAATATACAAAGAGGCGCTATACTGATTCTAGGCATCCAACTAGGCATATTCCTGACTCTGAAAGCTTGGACAGTTCTGTCAAAATCGAGCCTAGTGTGCCTAATGTACCAGCGCCTGGACCCGTATATAAGAGGAGAGAACTAATTTCTAGTGTACCTACTAAATAGATGTAGCTGGTTAGTTTGTGTAAGAATAATATGTATATTTTTCTAAATAATTGATTTTTGACATTTTTACGTTATAAATATGTTAAAAATTATATGTCGAAACATCTCTAGTCAGAACTTTATTTATTATTATTTGTTGTTTATATGTTAAGCTATAATAATTTTATTTTGTAAGAGAAAATTATAGAGCGTTTTTGTTGATGTCATAAAGTTGTGTATATATTTCCATAGCTTATGAGTTTTATTCAAAGTAATTTTTATCTATTTCACACACTAGACCAACCTACTAGACACATAGGGAATAATAAGACGAATTAGCTTATACCCAGTTTCAGCGGATCGCGGCGGTGCAGCCTATGCCAAGTATAGCCTAGCTGCCGAAGAGGTACGAATTTTAATGAAATGCAGCTCGACGACATGCCATCATAATTCATCAGGGTACGGGTCAATTGGTCCTATCGAAGCCTATTTGTTTAGTAGTCTGCTGGTCCTTTCTGTAGATGTTTTATTTGATTTTGTAAGACGTCTTAACATAAAAAGAGTTCACATGTGTTGGTTGGTTGGTTTGAGGCGGGGTCAGGCATGCTCGTGTTTCGATATAACCTCGCAAATCTCGCAATGACATTTTTGTTCCCCTATCGAAAGTGACGTTATATGATTTTTGACGTAATAGCTAGCGTCTGCATGTAGAAAAAGGCCTTCAAACGCTTTGTTTGTCCCCCCATCGAAAGTCGAATGTGAGGTTGTGTCACAGTGCTGAGCCATGGGTTCAATATTTGGTAGTATTCCGGATATATGGTGTCATTGTTATGTGTGACGTCAGTTAGTGCCTAATTGGACAACGTCAGAAACAAAAACTGATGAAAACTAAAACTATAACAACTATTGTTGCATTCGTCGAACTTCTGGTGTGGTATTTCAACATGCTCTCGCCCAAGTCCGGCGAAATTGCAGCCCATGCTTGACTACCAAATACTCTTAACTTTGATAAATCGTTCTTGTTATACCATCTCTTTACCGGCGTTTCACCATTGTTTGCTTCAGTTGGTGACCGGTTTAATTCATAAGCTGAGAATAGTATTGCTTCTCCCAATAGTTTTCTGGGTACCTAAATTAGTTTCTGCGGTTCTCACCCTGTCTAACAATGTTCTATTAATACGTTCTGATGTTTCATTTTCCTGCGAAGTATATGGCATCTTTGGGTCTGTTCCCACAGGAGTCTTTGACAGTTTGCAAACTGTCAGTAAGCATCGCCCATACATGTTTTCAATGTTGTCGTTCCAAGATTAATCTGTAAATCAGCTGAGCGATTGTTTCTGACAGTTTGCAAACTGTCAAAGACTCCTGTGGGAACAGACCTTATACTCGAGCTGAATACCCTTAGTTCTGCAAATTTTTTTGAAATAATCTGATATAAATTCCTCTCCATTATCTAATCTTATTCTTTTTGTTTTTAAACTGTTTTGAGTTTTAATTAATCGAACAAAATCAACAACATTTTGATAAGCTTCACTTTTATTTTTTAACAACTTAAGGCCGCGTTAATGGACGCCATGATGAAATTTAGTTTTTGAAAATGACGACTGCGTCACTCTACACATACGGTTCAATATTTTATTATTTGTCCAAAACAAAATCTGTTTGTCGGTGAAACACTTAGTGACAGAAAGACAAATATACAATTATGATGCTCCCAATGTAGCTTTTTTGCCGTGGCGCCATCTACTTGAAACTGTTTTCACCTTCAAAATTCGTTTTAAGGTCATCTAAAAAATCCGCAATAATGTTCAAAATTCTTTGGCATAAACATTATTTGATATATTATCTACAATCTCTACAATAAGCTTTTTTTAGTTTTTCGTGGTTATCAATAAAATATGCTTTTCACGGATCCAAGCTTGATAAACATGCAAATATGCAACCACCAACACATTTAATTGTTTTGGTGGTTGCGAACATGATGTTTGAATTAAAAAAAAAAGGCAGAATATCGAAAAACCAGAATAAGGAAATGTAGATAATCGATCAATTAATGTTTATGCCAAATTTGAGCCAATTCTGATGTGCCGTTTTTTTAAAGACCTTAAAACAAGTTTCGAAAAATCAACCGATCATAGTTTAAACATGGCGGCCATTTACACGGCCTTAACTACCAAGAAATGAGAAAAATCATCAATCAATACTTGAAAGTATTTATAATCTTCTGGAGTAGGAGTTACTACAGGACCTGCGATATCAGAATGGATCAATTCACCAATTTTGACGGTTTTTTTTTGACTATTATAGAATGGTTTTCGAGTACATTTAGCTTCGATACAACTCTTACAAATTTCCTGACTAAACGGTAAACCTAATCTCTTTAAATTGAATCTGTTAATATGACCTAGCCTTCTGTGCGATATGTCTTTACCTAGACTTTCATGTGCTGTGTAAACACACTCATTACCCAACTCAATATCAACTTCACAATTATTATTACATTCATTTTTTCTGTTAATATTAGTAGGTATCAGTTTTAAAATCAATATTTAAATAAAATAAATCATTATGAGAATTACAATGAAATTTAGAATCATTTTTTAATAAAATGGCACACTTATTACCAGACTTATCATTATTGAAAATAACTTGGAAATCATTTCTAAGCAATTTAGATACAGACATAAGATTGTGTGACATACCTTCAACTAATAAAGCTTCAATTGTTATCTCTCTTCTTTGGCAGATTCCTTTAACTGTTCCTTTCTTCCTCGCATACAGAATTTCTTTTTCTTTGGCTGTTCCAATTTTAATTTCGTGTTCTAGATCCTTGACATCTGAGGCCTTATTCTTGACTTTCTCTCGAGAGAAAATTTGACTGTGTTGACAATTAAACAGTGCATTCATTAACTGTTAACAATGTCAAATTTTCTACTTAGGTAAAGTCAAGAATAATACCCCTGACATGTACTTTTCTAAATCTCCCATTACCATATGTTGAGTGCATCCTGAATCCAGGATGAAGCTGTTTACTGCACATGGTAAGGTTACAATGCTTAATGCAATTAGTACAATTTCATCTGCCTTATTTGCTTGGGACCCTGTTCTGTTACCTGGTTGAAATTGACCATGGCTTTGACTCCTATTGTTTTGATAATTTGACTGAAAATATCCTCTTCTGCTGTTTCTCCGACCTCTGTAATTCCCTCGTGTAATTGTATTCGAATTCAGCCGACAATCAGCTATTTTATGTCCAACTTTATCACATTAAAAACAAGTTAATTGAAATGCTTTAAAATATTGTTCTAGCTGGGTAACACTATGTCCTTGTTTCGCTTTAAACTTCAGTTCTTCATCGAGTAGGCGAGACTTCACAAAGTCCATTGTTACTTTACTATTCATTGTCTCGATTGCTGTAATTACTGGGTAAAATTCTTCATTGAAAGTGTTAATAAAAGATGACAAACTTTATCTTCTTCCTCTACCTTGGATCCAATGCTTTCCAGTTCTCTTATTAACTTGTCAAATTTATGAAAATGGTCTTCTAGCTTTTCGTTTCGTTTATGTTTTAAGGTCAGTAATCGTTTTTTAAGTGTCAGTTTAGTAAATACACTCCGTCTTTGAAATACATCTTCCAATGCCTTTAACATTTCTTTTGTTGTTTTGGAGTCTTTTATTATATCAAGGTGTTTATCTCTTATACATTGTACCCTTATTGATTTGAACTTTGCATCTCCAACCTTAAATTCTGATTTTTCTTTATATCCAGTGAAGTTGTCTAAAACCTTTTCCAACGTGTCTTCTATCTGCGTCCAATAAAGCTCCCACTCTGAACTTCCAATTGTTAAAATTTTCCGCATTTAACTGAGGTACTGTTATCACATTCATTTTTCTGCTTTTTAAGTCTTGCTTCCTTTTCACAAATTAGTATTTCTTTCTTGGGTGAGCTGGGCCCATAACCTGTTATTTGATATTAATAAAATCCCAGATTCGACGACTTTAAACAACTTATTTATTATTAACAATTCGGTTACAATAGAAGAGAACAACCAACAACATTGACAAAGTTGACAGAAGACACATTAGGTACGTGTCATTGCAATATTGTCAGCTTGCACATTATAAAATCGTATCTAAAACATGGAGCGCTATCTCTTAATGAGAAGCTAAGCTTACATAAATTCCTAACAAATATTACTATATAAACTTTATCATTGTTCTTAAGATATAACGGACCAGCAAGATCAATTCCGGTAATTTCGAACACTCCAACATCATTCACTCTGTCCTTAGGTAATGCGGAGAAAGGGGAGCATTTACTAGCTGTTTCCTGCACGGTACGCATAATCCAATGACATTTCTGATAATTTTTTTTCCTTTTATGATCCAAAACGTTTCTCTTAACTTATACCACAGAGTCTGTTTTCCAGCATGACAAAACTCTATGTTTCTCTTCAATTCATCTTTTAACGATTTTATAATTGGTAGCAAAATTGGATACTTAGAACATTCCAAATCATCTCTATTAATAATGCGAGTTTTTACTCTAAACACACCATTATTATCTCTAAAAATTTCGAGTCCTTGGAAATCCTTATCTCTTTTACCAAAACTTTCACCTCCTAATTTTTATCAAGCAATTCTTTGCTTTTTAAATCTCTTCGCTCAACATCTCTTTCTCTCTCTAAGTGCCATCTCCGCGACGGAGGTTGGCAATCATCATAACAATCCTGACTTTTGAGGCAGATGCTCTAAAAAGATCTTTTGAGCTGCATTCAAACCAGTCTCTCAGATTCTTCAGCCATGGAACTCATCTCCTGCCTACGCTTCTTTTGCCTTCTATTTCTACCTTGCATTATTATAGTCGTAGAAGACTGTACTTCCGGCCCCGCATTATGTGTCCTAGATACTGCAACTTTCTCTCTTTAATTGTATTCTCTCTCCAATTCTTCTCAGCACGTCAATGTTTGTGATTCGATCTGCCCAAGAAATTCTTGAGTTGAGAGTTGAGTTGTCTCACTGCATTCAGTGCCTATGCTTCCACCCCATAATAAAGCTCACTGTGGACATAACATTTTGTCAATCTTAGTTTGAGCCTCAACGTAAGCTTTCTACTACACAGGACTTTTTTCATTTTTATAAAGTTGGTACGAGCTTTTTCAATTCTGGTTTTTATTTCTGCGGTATAATCATTGTTTTCTGTAATAATTGTTCCTAAGTAAGTGTATCTTTTCAGTTTTTCAATCTGTTGACCATCAATTAAAATTTCATTCGTGTTGTTGTTTTTACAAATTTTCATAAATTTGGTTTTCTTGATATTGAGGGAGAGTCCATAATTTGCACTACACCTAAATGTTTTGTTCATGACTCATTCTAATTCTTTTAAACCCGGCTATTATTACTGCGTCGTCTGCATATCTGATGTTGGTAATCAGAACTAGAACTCCATTTACTTTTATACCAGCGGTCTCATTTTCTAATGCTTCTATTATATTTTGCTCGGAGGACGCATTAAATAATGAAGGCGACAATATGCATCCTTGCCTAACCCCTCTATTTATTTCCATTTCAGCAGATTTTTCCTGACCAATTTTTACTGAGGCTCGTTGATTGTAATACAGATTTGAAATTAATCTTACATCTTGTCTATCCAGGCTGTTGCTTCTGAGAAGGTCTATAAGTTGGTCATGTTTCACTTTATCAAAAGCTTTATTGTAGTCTATGAGGCAGATATAGAGGTCCTGGTTAACATCCAAATATCTCTGAGTCAACACGTTGAAAGAAAATAATGCTTCTCTTATACCCACCCTATTTCGAAAACCAAATTGAGTGTCAGTGATATCCAATTCTAGCTTGTGATGAATTCTGCTGTATATAATTTTTAGGAGATTTTTTCACGTATGTGACATTGAGCTTATAGTTATATGATCACTGCATTCTTTGGCATTGAATTTTTTCGGTAGGCATATAAATGTTAAGCATTTCTCGTGGGATGATTCCTGCATTGTAGATTGTGTTAAACAGCTCTATCAAAAAATCTATGTTTTTTTCGTTGATCAACTTGAGTAACTCGCTTGATATTCCATCTGGACATGCAGATTTCTTTTCTTCATAAATTTGAGTGCATGTTCTACCTCCGATTTAGTTATTTGAGGTCCTATGTCTCCACCTTGATAGTCTGCAGCCGTGTTTTCCTGTCTCTGGTCATGAAATAATACCTCTATGTATTCTTTCCGCATCTTCTCAATTTTTTCTTTAGTCTCCATTATGATATTTCCTTCTTTATCCAAAAGTATGTTTGAGTTTTTCCCCTTTTTCAAATCCCGCTAGTTCCTTGACTTTTATGTCTAAGTTAAAGTTTTCATATCTGTTTTGTTACTCTTCTATCTCATTACATCTTTCAGAGAAATAAGTTTCTTTTGCTCCTTTTATTTTTCTTCTTATTTTACTTTGCAGTTATTTGTAGCAGGCGTTGTTTTTTGCCTTGTACTTCCTTCTTTCATTCATTAATTCTAATATTTCGTCTGTCCTCCAATCTTCTTTTCTATCTTTGTCGTAAGTTCTTTTTTACTGGGTCCTAAAAGTGATGTTTTAATGAGTTGCCATTGTTATTCTGGGTTTTCTTTATTTTGTTGAGATTCGGAGACATTTCTTTTCTAAATTTTCATTGATTTTTTGTTTGAGTTTATCTCTGATTTCTTCTGATTTAAGTTTCAGCTCTTTGGTAAACTTAATATTTTCTTGAGATACTTTTACATAAAATCTATACATCCAAGCAACCATACGAAGAATTTTAGTACATATATTTAGAAAAATAAAGCAAGTTCTCAGAGGTATTGCTTTTATTCACAATCAGATTTGTTACTACCGCTGTTTTTTTTTTGTTCTATATACCTATAGGCTACTTCTAAGAAATTGATGTTATCGGCCAATATTCTATATTTTTGCTACACCATTCGGGACCTTCCCACCAACGATTTGCAATCAACTGTTTGTTACTACTCTCTCTTGATGGAAGATCTGCTGCATTAGAAATACCTGCCACGTGATTCTAGTTGCTCAAATCAGTATAATTCCGAATTTCCTCAACTCTATTGCTTACGAAAGTGTTCCAATTTGACTCTTAATCCAAGTAAGAGCAAACTTAGTCACTCCAAGAATAAGCGTCAAAGCTTTGTAAACACTTTTTTTTTGAACTATGTATCTATAAAGTCTACAAGCTATCAAGGCTGACAAGAACTCAATACGTGGTAAAGTAATTTTTCCGTAAGGGCGTGATTCTTGACTTTGAAAGTAAGAAATTGACGTAAATCTCTACATTCATTTCAACTCTTGGGAATATACAAGCTGCCTAAGCTGTTTCACTAGCATCACAGAAAGTAAGGAGTGTAAGGACACATGATAGTTTTTTAAAGGGGTAGCCTTAAAAAGGTTTCTTGGAATCTGACAATGCTCAAGAAGACGTATTAGTTCAGGCCAAACTTTGAATTGATCCAAAATATTTGATGGTAACGGATCGTCCCACTCGATTTTTGTTTTCCGGGTTTCTTGTCCATAAGATTGTTATTGGACAAGTGAAACCTATTGTATCAAATACACGTTGCGCAGCAGACAAAATGCCTCTTTTTGTAAATGGAATCTTTGGTATTTATTCTAGAAATGAGGCATCACAACAGAGTACATCTTGTTCAAAATTTCATGCCAGTCCGAGAACTGATACTGAACTTCCTTTACAAGGAATCTCACGTTCGTCTTCTTTAAAGAACGTTTTGGCATTATATGTCCATCCTCTCAAATTAAATCCACCTGAAGACAAATATGTTCTACTCATTTACAAATGTTTTTAACTCTTGCATACTATCGACACTCGTTACACAATTATCCAAGTAAAATGACTCATTTATTAATTGTGTCTGAAAAATTAGCATAAATCTGTTTCAAATGATACATAATAGTGGCTCCAAGCAAAAATGGACTTGAGGAAACTCCAAAAACCGCCCTTGTATGTCTATAGATTTTGATTTCATCCATAGAAACATCTTTCCACCATAAAAATCTTAATACATATCTGTCTTTTTCTGCTATACCAATCATAAGAAACGTTGTTTCTTGTCCGGCTTTCAATGCTATTATTTTTGTCTGCTCCTTTGTCCCAAAACTTTTTGCCAGATGAATTCTTTCTTCACTTTATGCTTCGGTTTTTAAAAAATCTAGTAAATTATTCAAAAAATTAGTGTTTCTACTAATTTGTACTTCTGTGTCTTTCCCACACCCGCACAATGTCTTCTGGTAAAGCAGACTCAAACAACATTGCAGCGTATTTGTCTATAGTCACCCCTAATGTTTCTAAGTTTCGTAATTGTGACTCTAAACTATCATATAAAGAAGCAATTGAGAGGTTAGATTTTCTCTTAACTTGCTTAAGAACTAAATATAATAGCTCGCGGACATATACCTACTTCAATTAAGAACTCATCTCTACTAAATCTTGCTTTTAATTTTAATTTAATAAAAGGTGGATAACTTTCGATCAACGCAGGAGAACTTTCTTCAGTCGATTGCGATAGATACTAAAACTTATATTCTGTATCTATACTTTCATCTGCATCTATTTTGCGAAATTACCCCCAGAAACGTATCCATTTGTTGACATCCCCATCAAATTTCTCAGGGTCAATTTAGGAAAAAGCAACTTATGCTTGTTACTTACGATTGATTCGGCCTGACTCTCACAACTTAGGAATTATTAGTCTACCTTATTCCAGTATTCTATAATCTTCTCCCCAAAAACCTCTACTGCTACCATTTCAGCTTCCATTTCGGTTTCGTTGGATCCTTGGGTCACCGTCATCTCCCAAATTTTGTCGTGAATACTGAAGATGCGGCTTATTCTATCCTCTGAAACCTTCAGGAGCTTCATGAGCTTTTCTTTGGAAATGTTATGGCAGTTCAACTCTTCGTCCAAATTTTTACCAACTCCATCGAATAATCGTTGTAATATTTTCCTCTGTATCTTTAATTTGTCTACGGTCGCCATATGTTGTTTGTAATTACTGCAGGTTATTTTAACTCGAAAAAGATAGGAGAAGTGGATCAAATTATTTGATAAGGAAACAAAAACTGGTAAAAACTAAAATAATAACAATCATTGTTACATTCGTCGGACTTCTGGTGTGGTCTTTCAATAGTTGTTATTACCCAGCCTTATCTGTCCATCATACCTTTTGTGCTATTACACACCTAAACAAAAATATTCAATTTTTAAGCTATAATGAATTTAATCAATGAAACAACATCCAAACAAAACAATGGAAATAATTTATTAAAATGTTTTATCGTTCCCAGAACGCAATTATTACATTGATAAAATATATAAACGTGTCAGACACATTATAAACAAACCAACACTTAAAAATCTATAATATTAATAAACATTATCTTATACCATAATACAATAAAACAGTTTACGGACGCAAAAAAAATAATAATGGACGGAGCACAATAAGGAATGGTTAAAAAATAATAGGTACCTAATAATCTATATAAAAAGGATTAGTATGTACAAAATATAATTTACATAAAATAACTATGTAAAATGTGTTTTACACAATAATAATACAATACAAAAATATATGTAAATAATTTCAAAAATAGACTAGAAGCAGTTTATACTTACAAAAAATTGTGCATTGAAAACTTTTTCGAATGTGCGTTAATTTTTTTATTACAGTAAAGACACAAATTTTTAAAAAAGTAAAAAATTACATAACAAGAAAAAGTGTCTCATATACATGGTCACCATATTGCTATAAACCTTTGGAAAAATTTCAATGCCAGTATATAGTTCCTATCAACACACTCACGTTACACTTCAGTACTATGAGTTTGTATCCTAACTTTTTTCGTACTACCGTTCCGGTTCAGAGTGGGCGACGTGCCGCTGAACCCGGGATTCTGTATGCCCAAGCCGTCTTTCGGTTTTGGTTTCTTCAAACTGCTCCTGAGCGGCGACCGAGCGGTCCCTATTGAAGAACCCACCGTCGAACCATTCGTGGAACCCAGAGTCGTCGACGTGGTGTTCATCGAAGCCATCGAACCGTTCGATGCGGATGTGTACGGTTTACCGCTGGCGTCTGTCATGGATATTCCTACACCTGGAACATTTAGGTTTTATGTTATTAAGAATAATCTATGGACAGTATCTAGTATATGTCCTCAACTCAAGGGCGGTTTAAGGGGGGGTAGAGGGGGTAATTACCTCCCCAGACAAAGATTTTTTTATACATTTATTAATTACAACAAAATTTCAACAAAAGACAAAAGACAAGTTCTACAAAGTAAAGGATTAAAGGCATCGTATGAATAAGATAGACTCACCAGTACCGACGTACCTACCAAGGTTCCTGAAGTTCATAGGTTGTCTGGTAATGGGTAACTTGATGACGCATCTGGGATGCCTTATGCAGATTTGCATTATGTTGAGGCACCCCAGATGACGTCATGAAGTTATCAGGCAACCTACCTCTCTCAAACAACCTTGCGTACCTACCTAGTACTATACAGTGCTATGGTTGTTTGAAACGTCTGGTTTTGTGTACAGTATTGCGAACACCCTGTAGAATGTTAATAGATTTTCATACGACCATGAAGTAAATGTAAGTAAAGTACGTCGTTTTTAAACTGACACTTTTCGTATGACGAGCGAGGAGGTATTTCATATGGCAAAAACAGGTGTGACGTCAGGTAACCATTGGCGGTCTAATGTATAGGGAGCCACCAGCTCAGATTCCGTTGGAGTATCAAATTAAAATCGACAGACATTATGCACTAACAATCTGCAAAAGCTTTAGCTTATAAGATCTCCAATGGATGAAATATGTTGGTTTTTCTTGGCACAAGCTGCGATTTTTTGAAAAAATATTAAATATTTTAAAAACGATTGAGTGTTGGTATGTCTATGGTTGGTATAGATGATTCCTAACAAAAAGTATGTAGAATTTTTAGAACGATAGAATGTACTAAAATATAGGGTGTTCCATTAAAAATAACAAAGTTCTGTCGCATACCCCATTTACAGAGAAACAGAGAACCCTGTATGTTTAAAAATATTTTTAAGTAATGCACCTTAGAGAATCAAACAACTTTAAATTTATATTTTTTTTTCTTGCTTCACCCTGTAAGAAGATATCGTCCGGTATCGCACCAAGTGGAACCCTGTATAACTATTTTGACAGCATCGGGATACATTTTTGCTCGAAGCGTGTTTTTTAAACGACTTCCGGGTGCAAATTTGGGCATGGCACCCGAAAAAAAAAATGTCGCCTCCGGCGGTACGTACGTTGCGACACGTGATGATTTTCCCGTCATCCATTACCCCCCCCCCCCCCCCCAGAAAATCATGTATGGACCGCCAATGCCTCAACTAGTAATGAATGAACTTGTAAACATATTAGAAGATTGTGGGTGCAATAAGGAAAGACGAAAATTGTTCTACAAAGGACCTTGCATAGAGACAATCAGGCGAGAACAATTTTGCTCATTTTTTTTTTTATTTTTTTATTTTACATTTATTGCATTTTAAGTATACTTATTGCAAGAAATTTGGTTTTTTTAATGTTACATTATTATTATCTCTATCTTATTCTATTCTACAGCTAAGTTAGGAAAATTACATTATGTATTAAAAAAAAAAAAAAAAAAAAAAAAAAAAAATACGCCGAAGAAGGACAATTGTGTTCGGCAAAACGAAAGAAATTAGTCATTCATTGCGCAAAAAGGATCTTACCTTTAACATATTTAGTGTATAATAAGCAATTTTTGATACGCTATTCAAATTGTCTGAATTAAGTATTTGAACTAAGTCATCCATGCCCAAACAATCATTACCAAGAAACTCTGCTCTACAAGCTTTATACATGGGGCAAGTGAAAAATAAATGCTGAAGTGTTTCTGCCTCTAACAAGTTACATACTGTGCATACTTCCTCAGGTCTAATTGAGTAGGATAAACCCCTGTTTGAAAACTTAATATATTTTTTATTCGCAGTTCGTAATTGAGCTATTATTCTGGTAATAAAAATCGAGCAGGCAATCTTCAGGTAATTCTTCTGAATGTTATATGTCAAAGAATTTGCTAAAAATAAGTATGAAGAATTTTCGAGCATAAGTAAATCACAATTTTTTAAATAATTCTTGTAAGTTTCTAAGGCTTTTTTTCCGAAATGGGCAATGTTTACGCGCTTATCGATGATCTCATCCCATAGAGATACAGCAGATGATTTTTCGAAGATATTTTTTAATTGAAGGACCCAATTATATTTAATATCGCACTGAGTGGATAGAGTCAAAAGACGCTCAAAACAAATCCTTGGGAGTCTAGAAGTATCCATTTTTAAAATTTTCTGTAACCAAGATATACCTTCCTTAAATAAGTTATAACTAACTTTCCAGCGGCCAGTTTCGAGCCTGACTATATGATCTGCCGTGGACCTTGGAAGCAAAAGCAACTGTTTAAAAAACCCAACTTGGATCCGTTCCAAGACATCCTCATACCGTAGGCCCCAAATTCCAACCCCGTACGACATGGTAGATATGACAATGCTTTGGTAAAGTTTTATTCTGGTATCCCAGCTGTTTATCTTGGCCCTGCTCATGGTTCCCAGCACCGCTCCGAAAGCCCGTTTGCAGTTTAAAACTGTTCTCTTTGACATCTGCAAAAATAAAGACGAAGCGGAGAATTCGACGCCCAGATAATTAAACTGGTTGACTACTTCAAGCTTTTGGCTGCCGTAGTAAAAATTTAATTTTTTTGAATGGTGGAAGCCATCTTTAGTAAACAGCAGCACCTTAGTTTTATCAGTGTTAACCAATAAATTGTTTTCATCTGCATATTGTTTTAGAATAGCGAGGAGAATCCGCGAGCAAAGTTTGGTCATCAGCATACAATAACATGTTCAGCTCAGTGATACCGTCGATGCTGACTCCTTTGGCCCCCTTAGTGATAAAATAATCGGTGATATCGGCAATGAATAGAGAGAACAGTAAAGGGCTCAGGGAGTCCCCCTGCAAAACCCCTTCAGTTATGTCATATGTCCTACTGAAAGTCGCATTGGATTTTATAGACATTTGTGCTATGTCATACAAACTTTTAATAACATTAATATATTTTGTGCTTATTCTCAGCCGGTGTAGTTTTTGCCAAAGTAAGTTATGATTAGTTGAGTCGAAAGCACGTTTAAAATCGACAAATGCTGTGTAGAGCTTTCTGCCTTTTAATCTAAGTCGTAATTGCACTATTGAGTTGACAAAAACATTATCCACGCAACCCCTGCGGGCTCTGAACCCCGCCTGACACTCAGGCAAAATGTTGTTTCCTTCACAGAGAATGGTCAGTCTATTTTGCAGAATTTTTGTAAAAACTTTAAGCAAACAGTTAATTAATGCCACACCTCTATAGTTGGCGGGGTCCTCCCTCGAACCTTTTTTGTGAAGCATGGAGAGAATGGTTTCTCCCCAAGCCGGCGGCACCTTCTCCAAGTTTAATATTTTATTAAACATACAACATATATATAGTAGCCAGTTCTGTGGCAAAGACTTAATAAACTCGTACGTGATCCCGTCCTGACCCGGAGCTTTCCCACTCTTGCTTTCAGATAGAACGTCTAGTAACTCAGAAAGTGTGATAGAGGCATCCAACTGAGGTATAACTACTTGTGGGAAGTCAAGTTGAAGTACTGTTCTCGCTGTAACGAGATTATTATAAAACTGTTCCCACTTTTCTATGGTAATTGGACAATCGACTAAATTCTGAGGGTTAAATTTTTTTATCAAAGACCAAAAGGTTTTAGAATCATTTGTTTTGGAAAGGGTGGTCAAAATATTTTTGTGATATTCATCTTTTTTTAGTTTTATAAGTGTTTTGTATTCTGTTTTTGACTTGATGTAATTCATCCTAAATGGATCTCTAAAGTTGTTTCTTTTGCAAATCTTAAATAAATTTTTAAAGTTCTGTTTTGAGAACAAACACTCCAGGTCAAACCAAGGTTTATTATTATTTTTATAAGGTTTTTTAATAATGGTGTTACCGGAATGTTCGGCAGCATTCCAAATAGTTTGCCGCAGATTCTCATAAAGCTCCTGTGGAGATCCCTGTACAAGTCCAACACACGGAGAGTTCATCATTAGGCTTTTAAAATAATTGCTGGGTTGATCGTACCATTTTAAAATTTTGACAGGCAATGAAACAGAGCTAGGATTATCAGTGGTTTTGTTTTCAAAAAAGTTTAGGTATGACAGCACAGGAAAGTGATCCGATAAACATGCTTCCTGCGAAACGACCAGATTATTAATAAGAGAAAGAGAGTTATTTTTGCAAAAAAATAGGTCAATAACGCTACTACCCCTGCCGGCGCACGTAAAGCATGCAGGTCTATCACCAGCGATAGAGCCATTTATAAGTGAGAAATTATTTTCATACATGAATTCGAGCAATGCTCTACCTTCCGGTTTTACTAAAGTGTCATTACTTTGCATAAATTCGTATAAATTTGTGTTCTCTAGAAGTACTTCTTCGATTGATGCGATTTGACCAACTCTGCAATTGAAATCACCAAATATGAAAAAGGCAAGATCCTGATGGGACTCATTGACTGAACTCAATGATATCTGGAATAAATCCAATAGATCAAACTTATTCGATAGGTTAAAGTAAACAAAACATGTAACAAAACTAAACCTATTAATAGTGAACATGCAAATTTTGCTCATAAAATACCATTGCTTCTTACTTTACTCTTTTACACACCTCTGCAGACGAAAGATGTAATTCCACAAGCACTTGGTAGAAGGAAACTTTACAAATACTGTCAACGACCAAGTTTTTCTTTGAATAACAACCAAATATCAGTATTTGTGAAAGTACTTTTACTCTCCATGTTTATTTGTCTATTTAATCTCCATTTATCCAATGCCCTATAAGGTGATTGATTTGTATTTTTCTTCTTTGGATTGTTTTTTTTTATTGTATTTTGTATTAATTTATTATTCTTTTGTTCCTATTGTTTGGTGGTATAAGTAGCTACCTACTTCAAGTCTGTTGAAACGAATATAAATAGAATTGTTTAACACTATAAAGATTTTAAGGTCTTATCCGAGATAAATTCAATTCCTCATTTTTGAACAAAAATGTACTATAAGTACTTCATTAGTACAATGAGCCATTTTAATTAATTACCTTCGTCATAAAATACAAGTGACCTTACTTATCATGCCCTATAAATAATTCCTTTATTTTCACTTCACACAAATACCAATTACAACGTGACTTGACTATGACATTTTGAATTACCTATATTATTAAAAAGAATGGCATTCTCGATATTATAGTATCACAAAATAACAAATAAATAAACCTTTAAATTTCCAATACAAATTAGCTGAATAGCTGTATAATTTCCACAAATACGGGCTATTTATTCAGGTACCCATAAATGTGCTTATTTATAGCTTTTGAGTGGCACAAAGCAGATAAAAGGTCTGGGAAATTACAAAAAGGTTTATTTATAATGATTAATTTGAAAAGGCTTTAGAAGACAAAATTGTGCTAGGGCTTATTTTTTAATTAGAAAATTACCTCTACATATGCGGTTTTAGATTAATGAATGTAAACCCTCTGACTTACGGTGGGTTATTTATGGTTTTGTTTCAAGATTTTTTTGAGTTTGAGGGAGGTACCTACAATTTTGAGTCCCTCAAATGACTTTTCGATTATTCTCGGCTCTTGACCAAGTCTTGAATTTCAACTATTTGTGTCTCTTATCAGCAGTCTGTATAGTCTTCTTAGTTTCCTTTAGACTCTTAAAAATCTTTATTATTGCATCTTTAAGATTTTTGGGGTCTTAATAAGTCGTGAGCTTCGGAACTCTTAAAGTCTTTGAGCCCTAATTCCTGAACCTTAATTAAAATTCTTCGAGGTCTTCAGAATTTTTAAAGGCTTCAAGTGACAAGCTTTAAGAATATCAGCAAAAGCAAAAGTCTGAAACACTTTAGAGTTATTTTAGAACAATTAGGATTCAATTTAGAACCAGAAACCTTTTAGAACTCTTTTGAACCAATTTAGAACACTTTGGACCTTCAATAGGGCTCTAAAATACTCAAAAAGCTATCAGAACAATTTAGAAATTACTGAAAAACTTCTAGAATCTTTCAGCACTCTTCAAGCCAAGTGAGAACACTTTAGAACTTCAATATGCCATTTAGAACGTTCCAAAACACTTTCCAGAGCATTTTGGAAGGCTTCAGAACAATTCAAAAACCCACGAATTATTTCAGAGAGCCTAGCGCCTGGAATAGACAAAAATTGAAAGTTATAAAATGAAATGAATAATAATAATGAAATATTAGTCTTGAAGTCGTCTGAAAAACGTTGGGTTTTGTAATATGCGACGTCTTTGAGACGCCTGGAAGATATAAGCAGACGTCTATAAGAAGTTTTGGGTGTGACATCCTAGGGACGTCCTTAAGTTGCCCCTTTGCTGTCTGGGCTGCTATTTCCACGTTCTTGAATTTTCTCCATTTAGAGAAACTCGAACGAAAGCAAAAATTCAAGAGCCGGGAATAGGCAAAAATTGACACAGTAAAATTCACAAATGGAGAGAGGAAAGTTAAGAAGAATTGCAAAAAAAATTGGTTAACAAGACAAGATACAATTTTTTCTTATTCCGATCTTTTGAATTCTCTTTATTTAGACAAATTCAGACGAAGACAAAAATTCAAGTACCGGGAATAGACAAAAGTTGACGCAGGCAAATTAACAATTGGAGAAAGGAAGATACGAAGAAATGGGAAAAACATTTTACACAAGAAACAAATACTTAAAAAAATTAAAATGAAAACAAAAATTCAATAGCCAGGAAGACACAAAAAATAAAAAATAACAAAAATTCAACTATAATCGACTAATCAATTTAGGTACAGCATTTAGAACAGTAGATAGGTACCTAATCGATAAAAATCAATTTTTTAATCATTGGCATTTGATAGAGCATTTTAGAGTCCCTTAGAGGCTCTATTTGGATCTTAATTTACAGGGTACGATTCATAAACGAATTCCTAAAAATCCAGGTGAGCTTCAGTTTTATTCGCTTCACAAGCAAAAACACAATTTTGAACGCTCTTTTAACTTTCCAAAGACACCTTGTAAGGATGATATATTTTCGGAGCTGATATGATCCTGAAAAGCCTCTATTTCCAATTTTTCAAAAAAGTCACATTCTGATAAATAATTCTAACATTTGCTTCTTTAAATCCAAACAGACACGCAAAAATGTAGGTACATAAAAGCCTTAATAATTTAGAATCCAGAATTGCTAAATTAAAAAAAAAAGTCACTCACTATAATGTAGAATTGTGCAAAAAAATCTTCTGAAAAAAAGTCTGAAATCTTATATTTCGAAACGTATAAGTATTTTAGGTAAATTGCGACTTTTTAAGAGTTAGTCCCCCTTTTTTCTCCTCTTTTTGTTTCCATTTCAGCACTTAAACCCGAAAAAACTAAATTACTCTTTGCGGTACGTTTACGTGCACTTTGGGGACAATTTTTCTGCCTTTTAAGCCAAAAAAAAGAGAGTTCCGCATTACGAAAATTCAATTATTATATTTCCAGATTAAATTTATTTAGTCCCAGAGGCAAAATCAATCTTCTTTTGTCACATAATATCCGTCCATCGAGAAACTATTTATTTTATATATATTGTATTTTGTATGGTTCAGAGGAAGAGGAAATACATACCTTTTGGATTTCAGGATATAATATTATGTAATGTATATTCAGGGTGATTTACGTAGCCCGTGCATTAGATTGCAGATGGATCAGACGCTATTTCTACTAATCCACCAGCAAATTAGACAACTTCTAATGCACGGGCTACGTAAATAACGGTGTATACCTATAAACAAACTAGCCTATTCCTAAATCAAGTGTAAAATGTCCAGAATTTAAAAAACAATATTTTTTTTCCAGTTTCGAATCAAAATTCCTTACCGTTCGTGCCTCGATCCCGGAATCCAGGATTTCCATAAGTGGTGGGCTCGACGGGCATTGCCATCGTAGTAGGATCGCCGCCTTCTCGCCGGGCAAAAAACATATCGTAAAGGGACATTACGAACAAAGAGGAATTCAGCAGTATTGATAGAACCTTAAAAAAAAATTATTAATTATATTAATTGAAAAAAAAAAAGTTAACTAGGGGACACCCGGGTTTGAACCGGGGACCTCTCGATCTGCAGTCGAATGCTCTACCACTGAGCTATATCCCCATGTCAATATATTGTGCGTTGTTTGGTTATAAGGAAAATCGAGTATGTGGGTATAAATTTGAATTTAAATTTTATTTCTTCAATATTTTTTGCAGTATACAGTATACTCATAGAGAAATATAATAGTAGTAAACTACGAGAGAAGTCATTCCCCTGTACTTAACTGGCACAATGTCGACGTTAGCGCCCCTGGTGGCTACGGACAGCATTAAAAGAGTGAACATTGTTTGAATGCAGATTTCTTCTTTACCGACAGTAAAAAGGCGGCTTTTTCGAATAATTATAAATTATTAACTTTGATTTTATTTAAGATTTACTAAAAATAAAGTACTGTAAACGCTCAAAACAGTTAATTGCAAAGCAAAACATTTGTTGAAAAAACTTGCTAAAATTTACCGAGCAACTTTTTAGAACGATAACAGAACTTATTTTTAAAAAATCCAAATTAGATGCAATGAGATTCCTTAAGGGGGTCAAGGAGGTAATTGAACAATACAAAAATTGAGATATCTTCAAACAAACTTATTTTTTTATTCCAATTTTATAAATATACAGTAACTAAAAATGTTTGTATTATAAACTTTGTGTTTACCTTTTTACTGCATCTCGCATCATCGCAAATTCGAAAACACACTATTATTGGTGTCGGTTTTGTCTAATTAATTAATATTTATGATCACAGAATGTTTTCTCATTTCTCTAATATAAATAATAGAAGAAATTTTACGTATGATTGTGAGCATTCAGTTTTTGATTGATGGTCTTTGGATTCAATCATTTGTCAAATTTATTATTTTGTATGTGTTAAAAAAAGATAGAACATTTTCGGGCAAGTTGCTGACAAAGACAAATTAAACCGAGTTATCAGAAACGATCGAAGTAATTAGTTCAATAATCTGCCACACCATGCGAAATACGCTACGGGTATGTGCACAAACACATTCCAGATTGTTACATTAAACAAACGTCTCTCTTAGTTTAAGTACTACTATTATATTTCTCTATGAGTAGACTTGTAAAGTAGCGTGTTGTATGATTACACGTTGTATTTTTATTGGAATTAAACCCCAGTCATGGAACTGGTCCCCCAGTAGTTTGTAACTTTGCGATTAGATGGCGCCAGTTTTATGAGGAATTTTTTCCTCTTTCAAAGAAAACGCAATGTTAATTAAGCCAATAATTAAAACAATGCCAGGATTTAGTCAATTAATTTAGATTATTTTCTACAATTAAAATTATAATAAGTATAATTTATTTCTTGTTAACTTGCTTGCGCATGTCTGAATTTCAATCCAAGTAGGCTTTGTAAATCCCCCAGCTGGCGGCCATGTTGTCGACACAAGTTCATGTCGGGTGTGCCAGGCTATTGTCATTGTCAAATGAAATTATTATTATTACCTATTTGCGATGTTTCACATAAGTTGCTTCTTATGGTAGGTACCTATAGAGTACACCCGGGGTGAACTTTTCATATTGATGTTTCTAGAACACCCTTCGCACAATATGGGCTGTTTTTGGCAGGACAAATTTCTGTAGGCTAAGGAGTGCCTTCCCGGGATCTCTTTTATGACTGTACTTGTATAATGGGATATGAGTCCTGTCGCTCCCACAGATTAACCCGTCCTAAAGATAGGAAACTCAGGCCATTTTCCCTATCCTTGTCTCACTCATGCAGCGAGTTGCATGACTGCCACAGCATGGTGGCGCTAGTGTGCACGTCGGTGTGTCCAGTATTGTGGCAGTAGTCACGTGATTCTTGCCTTCTTTCAAATAATTTGTCTAATCAATTTCATTTCAATAATAAACCCTATTTTTTGGAAATAAAACAACAACATTTCAGTACTATTTCTTTCTTCAACAGCCTTCAACACAACAACAGAAAACCGTATTGAAAAAAGAAAACACCAAAAAGTTGAAGGGTCTATTTAGTGCACAAATGATTTTGTCAAAAATTGCAAATAAATATCATCACTAAAACCATTTCCACAATGTTTACATGTAAGATAAAGTCTCTTTGGTTGAAAACATATTAAGAAGTCAAAGTTTCACCAGAAATTGATAGAAAATCAAATAAAGAACACCATAGAATAAGAAGAACACTAACACACATCAAACGGCTGATTAATGGCAAATACAGAGATAAATACTATATAAACTGTCGAGAATGGAATCTCAGTGTAAATTTTGTTGTCAACAAAATTGAGCGAAGCTAGCGCCATCTACCATATTGGAAACTCACTATTTACTGGTTTTTCATTGACGCTACAGACACCTACTTTACATAGGGCTTCAAGGCATTTTTATGATAGATGGCGCCCTGTTCGCATTACAGTCAGTCTGTTCATATTTCTTTATTCTAGACTTTGGGACATTAATGTTTGCTTAAATTAATTGATGATTTTTTCATTAGATCAAAAGACAGTTCCCTTATCGATGTTTGAGGATATCTTTAACATATTTATTCAAAGTTCTGATTGATGTTTAATTGAACCTGTCATTAATCTAAACAACAAAAATAAAAATAGATCTTCCAATCTATAAAGTTTGAAGGTCTTCGTGAAACACACAAAACCACTTTGAAATCACTTAGAAACACTTGACAACAGAAAGAAAGACGAACTACAAGACCGGCGAACGAAAAACATTATGAATTAGGCAATCTACTGACCTGTCAAAAATGAAATTCAATATGGAAGTTCGGGTCAATTATTGGGTCAAGCACTGTGTTGTTTAGTCTGTACGTCATTGATTTTGTCACATTCTGGACAAACGTCAAGATTTTAATTATTGGATTCTGTGTTTTTTGTCTGTTTAGGTATTGTGTTAATCAAAATGCCAGCGATTTGCATCGTAATTGGGTGTGGAAGTCGAGGTACCTAACAGGGATAATGTGAATTTTATTCAGTTCCTGCTATTTTAAATCATTGGCTTTTGATCTTCAAATATAAATTATCAAAACAACGCAGGGCTTTATGGATTACTGCAATTAAAAGAAGAATTCACTCTCCATCTCAGAATTTATTAATAAATTAAAAAATACGTAGAAACACTATAAAATTCACTTTGAAAACAACAAGGGCCAGAACACTAAAAAATACGTAGAAAAACTAAAGACTATAAAATTCACTATGAAAACAATGGCCAAAACCGAGGCCAAAACCAATAAAAAATACGTAGAAACACCAAAGACTATAAAATTCACTTCAAAAGCAACACGAGCCAGAACACAAATGTGCACAAATGCTCTCCTTATGAACGTCACCGGCTTGTCACCCCTGTCACCGCAATATTTGACCCGAACGGCCATTATAAAATCACGTGATTGAGATTGCCTAATTATTAGTTATGATCAAATGAATATTTTGGCATATTGTCATATGTAGACATGTCAATCCACAGAATTCTCATGTCAATGTTATTGACATCAAACGTGTTCTTGATATGCTGGTATTTTACAATTCTGTTGTTGTCAGCGACATCTAGAAAAACGGAAAAGAGTTATTATGTGGTTTATTACTGGCAATAAGAGATCGCAGGGCCTGGGCAAATACAATGACAAATTACATTCTTTCACAGATGACATTTGCTTGTGGCTTTGCTATACTAGCGCCTCATAGCTTTGGCAGTCATGAAACTCTCATACGTGTAATTTTTTAGACAGCTCCGAACGAACATTTTATATGGAAGTTTCCTATCTTTAGGACGTGTTAATCTGTGGTCGCTCCTATGAACACTGGCATTCTTCCGATTTCCAGTTGTAGATTTTTTGTATTTCAGTTGCTTATCTGGCTCTTTCTGAGCGATGTTATAATCTGACGGGATAGAGACGTGTCTATCAACAGGCACTGATTTTTAACTTTGTCTTTCAAGACACGGTCCAGTTTATTCGCCTTTATTAACCGATTTGTATTTCAGTGTCCCATAACATTGTCATCTTATCTGTGTTCACAATAGGGTCAGGTCTGTGATCATACCATTTGTCTGTCACTTTGATTCCATACTCCTTACATATATTCCAGTGCAGGTGGGCTGCTTCTGCATTGTGGCGTTGTAAATATTCTTTCTTAGCCAGAATCGATCAACCTGAGACTATATGATGGATGGTCTCGCTTTCTGTCTGGCACAGTCTACAAAATTGGTCTGTGCCGATCTTCAGGATTTTGGTTTTGAGATAATTGGTTGCTATCGACTGCTCTTGACAGGCAGTGATAAGTGACTCTGTCAGATTTTGTTCTACTTATGGTTTCTTTTTCTGATTCCCTGAGTAATTGGCCATGGATCTTCTTTCTTTTTCATCTGTTTATTGTCTCTTTTTTCTTCTTCTCTTTGATTTCAGCTTTGATCTTTTTCACTTTCTTGGTTTCAGAGGTCCTACGTGCGCCGGTTGTTCTTGGTGTACCAGAAGAGTTACTTGTTGCAATTGTGTGTCCTTGTTCCTTCCTTATATTTCGTCTGTGAATCATCCCGAGATATTTATTCTGTTGTTTTAATTCTAAGTAATGTGTGAGCCACTGTGTTGCAATCTCGTGGCCAACCTGTGTATTTGTGAGTTCTCTACCGCCATCTCCCCTTGGAACATATAGTCTATCTACATCTGATCTCGGATGCAGTGCGCCATGAATGGTTAACTGTTTTCTAGTTTTTCTGTGTATTGCTCTGATTTCTGATGATGATGGCTGACAGCTTATTTTTGGCAGTGAGCTCAGTTTTGAGGAGTTCTTCTCGTGTATTCTTGGGTGAATTTCTTTTTCATTCTCCTATGGCTAATATTTTCATTGTTTTATTTCATGCTCTTCAAGAGATCGAATAGCTGTCTTTTCGTCCAGTTTTATGTTATTTCTTTCTGATGTTTAACCTTTTTTTATTGTTATTTTGACGC